TTTTTTTTTTTTTGTCTTTTTTCGTGTCCGGCAACGGATCGCAACCCTCAGTGTGGCGCCCATACTGGACCGGGACCGGCAACGGGATCACAACCCTTGGTGTTGCTCCCGCACCGCGCTCAGCCAGTGAGCGGGAACTGGTCTGTATGTGGGATCCGAACCCTCGGCGGGAGCGGCGCCGCACTCCCAAGCAGCGCACTGTAGCAGTGCGCCACCGGGCCGGCCCTGATGTTACATTTTTATTGTTGTAAATTGGTTGATTTATGGGAGAGACTGACACTGTGGACCATCTTTCTGCCAGCTTTACCAGAACTCAGCATCAGCAAATTTAACATTGATGCAATACTTTAATCTACTGCCTGTATTCTCATTTTGTCAGTGGACCTGGTAATATCCTTTATAGCATTTTTCCCTATCCATTACAAGATCCATAATAGAGTCAGGTGTTGCATTTAGTTGTTGTGTCTCTTTAACCTCCTCTAAATCTGGAACATTTTTCACAGCTTACTTTGTCTTTCACAACATTAGCATTTTTAAAAGCAAAGAGTCCCCCCCTCCCCCTTTAAATAAAACTTTCATTTTGGGTTTTTCTGATTTTTCCTCACAATTAGAATCAGGCTCTGCATTCTAGGCCAGAATACTGCCTGGAGGGGGAGTTGGGTCTACTTCTGGACATCACACCTGGAGGCACACAGTGTTCATCTGTCCCTCATTGGGGTGGTTTATTTGATTACCCAGTCAAGGTGCTTTCCAGTTTCCCCTCTGTATAGTTCTTATATGTTTCCTCCCTTGCAACTAATAAACAGTCTGTCAGGAGACACTTTCAGACTGCAGATACCTTCTCATCAAAGTTTTCCCCTGGGAGGCTAGGCAATTAGCGATGGTAACAACAGGGTCATGGGTTCAGATCCCCATACTGGCCAACTGCCAAAAACAAAAAACATTCAAAGTTTCCCACTGGGTTTAGTATTGATTGATGATTTTAATCTGATCCAGTCTTTACCATAATAGTGTCTACATTAACACATCATTGTCATCTAGAGTTCATAATTTACATTACGATTCAACATTGTACATTCTACCCATCAGATGGTATTTTGAAATAAGATGTTTTGCAAAATAGACTTTTACAAAGCCAAAAAGATCATTTGGTTGCCTTAACTGATAGAATAACTCCCTACAGCATCATGAGAAAATGAGTATTCTAGTCTCAGGGTCTTGAATAAAAAGTTATCAATTATTCAGCTAAACCAAAAAATAGA